AGTTTAATAAAATTTGAAATGTAAGACACTAAAATCTTGTGTCATGCGTAGTAAAGGATACCCGGGGCAATAGGGTTAAACTCCCTTAAATTCACTGTATCTACCACATCCGAAGGCAACCCATTCCAAAGATGATGCATTACAGTATCAATTCTCTTAACAATCTGAAACACTTCGTTCAGATTCTCTCTAACTGTTCTTTATCTCATATGACAACTCTGAACCCTTTCCAACAATTCAGTGTCATTTCTAAAAATTTGTTTTAACACTCCGAACTTCTGCTTCAAAAAAAGTTTTGACTTATTAACATTTTAAACACTATAGCAGAGTGTTAACCTGAATTTATTTAAAGATTGAGGGGGTGAAACTTTCAAAATGTGAATAATGTATCGTGAAAATGGGTTTATGATACACTTCAGTGGTAAGTATACCCTGGTTATTAAAGTTTGTTTCTTTGTTTGTTTTCAACTGTAAACTTTATATTGGGATGTTTATCTGCGAGCTTGATTGAATCAGCCAAGTTCAAGACCCCAAATTGACCTTCTAATAACTTCTAATATGCTTTATGTATGTTCACTTAATTGTGCAAGCTTTCTGTAATCAATCAGTCATTTGTAGACAGCTTTATAATGTATATGAGGTTGGTCATAACCACCAAAACATCGCCCATGAAAATTTTTTATTATTGTTATTATTATTTTACCAAATTTAAATTCATCTAAACTAAAAGGTTTCTAATTTGTACATTTTAGTTACTTTTATAATAATAAATAAAGAATACACATGAGAAACAAGAAATAAAGTACTTACCTGAGTCTTTTTTTTATTCTTCAACTGTCGATTACACTTAACCCTACTTTGTCATACTAAGTACTACTGCACTAGATAATTTTTCATTTATTTGAATTATGTACCAAAGAACGTAAAATAATAGCATGCAAAAAGTAAACAATGTCCCATAACTATCACAGTTTTCTGATTGTGAGACATGAGCCGTTGAAAGTTCAGCTAAGCTCATCGATATGTTTCCTGTGGGAATAAATTTTGAACTGGAAGCAAAATAGATGATTTTCTGTACAGAAAACAACATAATATAATACTTCATTTGAAAGATTAAGACCTTGGCTTTCTGTTGGTTAAAAAATATAGTATTATACATCAGAGAGAACTATTGGCAATTTCTGAAAGAGGGGATGTGACAAGAGGGGTCTGATTTTCTATTTGATGGCTCTGTAACTAAATACGATTGAAGGCTAAAAAAATCATGCTTTGCCTGAGCGATGACAACATTGTAGTAAGAATTTACATTAAATTTTGTACTTCTTGGTACTTGGTGTGATTTTTTTTATATTTCTTCTGTTATGATGACTTTTTTTTTATTATTTAAAAGGTATCACAAGTTAATTTTTGTGGTTGCTGCAGTATCACTCCTAATTTCTAAAAATTATCTGTATTTCTTAGAATAGCTTCCACTTCATTGATGTAGTCCACTTTATTTAAAACAACATCCCTGTTACCTTTATTAAGTTTAGTGATTATAATGTCCTTACATTATTCTCCATTTGTAGGAAGAATTCTACCTTATAATGCTAGAAACTCTTGCCATTAAGCTAAGAAAACCTGTTCTTAACCAGAAGATGAGTGCACTGCTACTATGTTTTCAATTTTTAAAATTTAAAGATCAGAACTTGAACTTTGAGCACGTAATATGAGGTGAATTAAAAACATGTTTGACTTGACCATGTATATCTGTACTGGTCATTTGAGGCTTATCTTTATTACTGTTGTGTTTACTTGATCATGCATGTCTCTATATATCATGTTAACTTTGTTTGTTCATGTGTGTCTCATCTGTGTTAGTGAAGTATTTGTTCCTTGAATTTATCACTAAAGCTTTTAGCATGCTTGTCAAATGTATACATGTGTATTGTATATGTCGATAGTATATGTAATATATGATTTTCCTAAATTTGCCATAATATCTGTTGTATCTGTCTTTGAATACTTGTGTCTGACCATTGTAGTGCACATTGTACTTTTGACACAATTTTGTTATATTATGAGAAAAATACCTTCTAATTGGTCTATATATGCTAGAATATAAACATTTATTTTATATATGCATCTGTCTAAACATGATAATAATCGAGCATTGGGCAGTAATACTTTTTGGGCCTTTGATTTTTATCCTTGTGATAAAGATATGCAATTTCATCTTTAGGTCAGAGAGCGTATATTTCAGAGACTTTTTCCAAGTGTTACATCCAGAAAATCTGCTACTTCATGTACATCATACTTTTTGAAAGACCAGGCATTTCTGGAAAATAGTCTTGAATTTCCAACTTGGGAGGCACTGGAAGAATATGACAAAGGTATTGAATATTCAGTCATCTTGTTTTAATTGACATAGTAAGTAAGAAAAATGGAGTGCCAAGTTGCAGTTAATTACACTTTAACCCTCTTGCTGCTGGGTTAGGAGAATTCACTGATCTTGTGACCCAAGAGTATCCATACTATACCTTCTAATATGCTTCATGTATGTTCATGAAATTTGACAAGCTTTCTGTAAACATTACAAGTCTTTTGTACACAAAAATATCTGATTTTTTAATTAAGTATTTGTGCTAAAGATTTGTTTATGAAACATGGAGTGTTGACTGCTCCAAGTGCAAATTGATTTTCATGTTAATATTAAAAATACTTCATCTGAAAAATTGTAATTTTTCATTTATGTAACCTTTAAAACCTCATAAAGCAATATTAAATGTTTTTTCAGTTAATCTTTATAGATTATCTGTTATTTTCTGTACTCTAACCCTGTATGGACTATTGATTTGACCAACCTCACAACCACAATAAAAAACAAAATAAATGTAAATTATCCTTTATTTCTTTCTAGAATAATTGCAAATTGTAGCAGGAAATTACATCTTTTAATCTTAAATAGCTTAAGGCTCATATACTTAATACTTAACTGTATACTTAATGTTATTGTTTTATTACCCTTTAAACTGTGTCTAACTAATAATCCTGTCACACAAGTTGTAAATCACTTGGAAAATGTGTAGATCAAATTACCTTTTTGAATGACATAATGCACGAGCTGTTCACGAGCATATCTCTTGAAGAATTATTACACTTCATTACCTTACCTAATCTAACTTAATAAGTTTCTAGTTAATACAATTTAATTACTTTTTATGATAATAAACAAAGATTGTACATGAAAAACAAGAAATATGGTGCTTACCTTTGTCCTCATTTTATTGCTGTTGGTTATCAATGAAATTTAAGCCTATTTTTTTTTATGTTAACTTTTTTGATACACATCACAGGTGAAAGGCATTGTTTTAAATATTTCTTTATAATATTAAGAACATAAAACTTATATTAAAATTTAATTTATTAACAATGTTTTGATGCCAATTTTATTCATATACAATTTTAAATGTAACTCTCTTAAAAAGTCGTGACATGTATACTTTGATCTACCTGTAGGGAAAAGGTTACATTTTGAATGTAATTTTCTAAAAAGTTGTGACATGCACACTGTACATTTATTTATTACAAAAAATGCAAACATTCTTGGAATGCATGATAAATGTTTAATATAGCTTTGTGTATTTTGTGCATATTATAATGTTGAACTATTTTTATTTTACAAACTAGTAACCATTCTCTGTTATATTAATTTTAGAAATATTTATAATTTACCTTTTAAATTTTAGCATTTGTTTACAGTATTATTCATTAGAACTGAATTATTTTGTATGAATCTCATTAGACATGTGCTTACTTTTATGCATTCCTAATAACGATTTTATAGAGAGTATTTTACATTTAATTTCATAAATTTTTGAAGGGTGATATATAAAATATGGATGATGACATGCTAAGACAAAATGTGTCACATTGGTCACACTAGTGGAAATTCAGGATTTTTTTTATATATTTCCTTGTAGAATTAAGAACTTAAAACTTGTATACTATTAAAATATGGATTATTAGCTAATATTTTATGCTTCTCTAATTGGTATAAATTAAACAAATTTTGAATGTAAGACACTAAAACCTTGTGTCATGTGCAATAAAGGTTACTCGGGAACAGAGGGTTAAATGAAATAGTCTCAATTCTTGTTGGTGATACTTTTCCATCTTACAATCAGGTTGCTAATGCCCTGAATACAGAAATCACTTGGCTTTGAAACAAAAAACATGTTGATCTCTTTAACAACTTCCATGCTTGCATACGTTTTCCCATTAAGGTGGTGTTGCTGCGAACAAAAAAGATGGTATTCTGATGGTGCCACATATCTGGAGAATATGGTTGATAGGGGAGAATTTCCCAACCCAACTCCATAATCTTGTGTTGCTTCAAATGTGCCACATGTGGATGTGCATTGTTATGGAGAAGAAGAACACATTTCTGATTGATGAGTGAAGAGCATTTCTAATGATGGGCTCGATTTAAATGTTGCAGTTTCTGACTATGGATCTCTGCATTGACAGTTCTCTGTGGATTGAGGAGTTTGAAATGAATTACTCCTTTGATGTCCCACCAAATGCAAAGCATCACTTTCTGCAGATGGAGTCCAGGTTTTGGGGTCAGAGATAGTGTTTGTCTAGGACTGAGTCATTGTTTTTGGCATTTAATATTTGCAAAGAGAATCCCTTTTTATCACTGATGACAATTCTGTCCAAAAATGGTTCACTTGCATTACTTGCCAGGAGAGACGAAGCAACATTCACTTGCTGGTAACGATGATCATCGAAGAGTTCATGAGGCACCCAAACACCTTCTTTATGGAGTTTTCTCATATTTCTTAGATGTTTATGCAGTGTTTCATATTGGGACATGCAATTTCAGGGCCATTTCACAAGTGTGTTGCCTTGGGCTAGACTCAACAAGCATCTTCAGAGCATCAATATCAGTTCCAACTTGTCGGCCCATGTCATCACGGTTTTTTAAGGCTAAAATCACCTGAACAAATTTTGCTGAACCATCGTTAGCAGTTATAAACATTCAAAACATTTCCATAAATTTTTTGATATTCTTTGTGGTTACAGAGGCATTGTTTCCCATCTTGTATTCAAACAGCATTACATGCTGAATGTGTGTCTCGTTGTGTGCCATCATTATACAGGATTAGAGTATACTAAACAAAACACATTACGTAGGCTACACTAACATGACATTTAGGCAGTTCGTTTAACTATTATACGTGATATACGTTTTGTGGGGGGTGGTTAATGAAAGTGTTTTAAAATGCGACATTAATTTCTTGGTGACGTAATATTTATGTGGTTAGTTGTTTTATTGTTGTTGTTTAATTTTTGTGGGATGTTTAATGTTTAGTATGCTAAATTTTTATTCTTGTATGACTTGTGTACCTTAAGTATTTCACAAAATTTAACTTCTAAGTTATAAATGTTGTATACTATGTGTTGGTTTTATTTTATTTCAGTTGCAAGTAAACTCCAACCAGAATTGTTACATCATCTCATTTGGCTTGCTTTACATTATCAAAGTTATGGAGAAGATCAGCAGAAAAAAGATCCCAAGTACAAGTTTGAGGTATAGAAATTTTATTACATTTTACTGAATGGAAAGCATTGAGTGTTAACCCTATGAAAAAAAAATTATAATGCTCCATGTATTTTTCTATGATGACAGCATTTAAGTATTATACTCTTTGAAGTATGAGTTGTTAAGTTGTTGTTGTTGTTGAAAATAATCTGAGGCTGAGGTAGCTATTGATTTTTTTCTTTTTCGGCTGGTTCATGTCAAAATTATACATTACAGTCAAGTAAATAATGTTTAATGCTACTTCAAATTAAAAATCAGAAAATTTGTTAGTTTTCTTTTGTAATAAAACCAGTTTGAATTTCTAATACAACAAATTTTAACAACATTTTATAATCACAGTTCTAAAATTACACATCAAGATTAGTTTTATTTTTCATTTCTTCAGTTTCTGGTGACTGAAATGTATTAAAATTCATCACCATTATTCTCGAAGAGCTAATAAACTATGGCAAAAACAAAAGTATTTTTTCTAAGTGTGTGTGTGTGTGTAATCAAGTATAAGTTACAAGCTCAAAATAGATATATTATTCCTTCTGTTAGGCAACAAGTGTATTTATATGGAACCAACTTGAAAGCTGTATGAGCTAATAAAGTATGTCAATTATTTCCTTAAAGATATCTGACCTGTTTTCTTTGATTTTTTGTAACTTTAATGCTGAGATATTTTATACATAGGTACAACTTAGAAATAGGACATTTAAAGTGAATGACAATGAAATTTATTTATTAACAGTTATTCTACTATGAGAAAATTTTAAGTACACATTAGGCTGAGAGGCATTTGATAAACTAAATTTATGGTTATTCTGTCATGAAAGTATTTTGTGTATAATATACCATTGGAGCAGCTCATTAAAAAAAAAAAATTGTTTTTAGTATATTCAGTGAGTTGTTTAAAAATAATGTTGCTTCATACATTAAATAATTTCCTTATTATCCATGTAAGCTTAAAGAACTTTGATTCCTTTAAGGTGTTTGATGGACTGAAATATTCTAGCCCTACACTAAATTCTGGAGCACCTGAATCATTATCATTGCTAGATGTACAGGCTTTCCTTCATGCCACTGTCTACACAGCCAACTTAGCACTTGAGCAACGTAGAGCACTGATCCATCACAAAGCAGCTGATGCTCCTTTGTGTGTACCTTCTTATATTGCAGATCCTCTGTGTACCAATGAGCAAGCCAATTGGTGGAAAGCAACATATAAACTGTATGCTAATATTGCAAAGTGAGTACTTCATGATTGTTTTTACTTACCAATAAAAACACAGAATAAATATGTTATGAAGCTTGTTGAATATTTGTTTTAATATTAAATGTGTTGTGGTGAACACTTATGTATTTGTTAGTGTGAAGAAATCAATAAATGTGTGTAAGACATGAATCCTTTGTGTGATGAAATTATTGTTTTTACATATGTAGAGAAAAGCTGGGAGAGTTAAGACGTACATTACAAAGAGGGTTAGAAGTGATTCGTGGAGTAGGAAATCATGGCATGGATGTGTCGCTTGTTGTACACCTAGCTCGCTTATTTGCAGACCAGGTAGTGAGTTTGTGAAGATAAAAACATGGCCACTAGAAAAAGTGCATAGTTCAAAGCTGCTAATTAACATATTCAAAATGCACTACATTAGATTTTCTATAGCACTTTGATAGCTGGTAAAGACCGTAATTGTGTACTTTTTGTTTGTTATATTTCCACTAGTTTTATATATTTTCAATAATTTCTATAATTCTTTTGTATTTATAGAAGGAATTTAAATACTCATTTTACAATCGAAAGTGGATCATTTTGAAATATTTTTTGCTATTTGCTAATTTTGTTAAATAATTAAATCATTAAAAGAGTGAGTGAAAGACATTTCAAAACACAATACGCATAATGATTGTCAAAAATGTGATTTAAAGTTTTGGCTTTTGATGTTAGACTGGATGTTTGACAACTTATTAAGCAGGCGGAAATCATAATGGTTATTAAAGGTTAGTTGAATGAAGGTTTTATTTAAACTTTGTGATGGAAAAAATTAACGAGAATAAAACAACTTAATTTAATCATAACAGTGTAAAATTCATCAAGTGTTTTATACTTTGTTTTAACTGCTATTAAATATTAAAGTTAACAATAAGGGATTATATTTTATTGTGTTTGAAAATAACATTTAAAAAATTGTTTTATTATATAGGCTTCAGAGCTACGGTCTAATATCACAAGTGATGATGCAAATACAGAAAAAATTCTAGACATTGAAGCTCGTGCATCTCATTATTGGACTGTAGCTTTATCTATGTTAGACAAGTTAGTAGTAAACCAGACTTTGAGAACACCTAAAGATCGTTTGTTTCCAAGTTATGGAAATGAACCTTCCAGTGAAGAAGTCTCAGCTCTCCAGGAAGAAGGCAGGTTGTTCCTAGCCTGTAGAGCCATGAATGATGGCCACTATAATGAAGCTGCTGAAGCATTCAGCTCTCTGAAGTCAGCGTATGCCTCATTTTACTTAGCACAGGTAAAAGCAAGAATTTGTCTTACAGGAGTGACAATACATTGTGTGAAGTTATTATCATCTAGTTGTTAAAGAAGATTTTTTTGCCAAATATAATTAAAATAAAACCAGTAATGTTTGTTTATGTTATAATTTCAAGTTCCAAAATAAACTTATGTGAATATGAAATTAACTTGCATTTGTTGGAACTAGATGAAAATTTATCTTTTAATTCTGTTTTAGTCATTAAAGAAATTATCTGAACAAGAACTAGGATGTTCATCAAGACAAAATGTCTCAATCACAATATGGAACAACTACATTTCTCTACTGAACCGTACTCGAGATGCACTCTACTTAACAATGGACCGAATTCGTGGTGATAGATATCATTCATTAAATGCAGAGCTTGACATAATGCTTGAAGAAGTAGAGAATAAGCTCAGTGCAGCTAACAGAAGCACACGTAAGCACCCTTTAGTGATTTGTATTTTATTACAAAGCTATACATGTTAGTTTTTTGAATGTTTTCCATAGAAATCCAACCAATCTGATTTTTTCATGCTTATTTCTATTTATTTGTTTGATCAAATCATATTATATTTGTTGACTGTGTTTAAATATTTGCTTTTCAATATTAGTAATATTTAAGAAAATTTTCTTTATCTACTAAAGATTCATAAAAACAGTTCATTCAAAATTATTTAGTAATATAAATAATTAAATAAATAATTCTATATATATATGTGTGTGTGTGTGTGTGTGTGTGTGTGTGCAAATATATATACCATTGTATTTTTATAGATATGTATGTGATTTATAAAACTCCTACATATGATAATTATTCTAAGTTTTTCTCAACATTAAGCTATAATGCTGATTAAAAGTTATTTCAAAGGTACTATTTATTGATGTATAATTAGTTTTGGTTTTTCATTTTTGCTTCACTATTTTAGCTATCTTTCTCTATAATCAGAAACAATGTGCTAAAAAGTCTTAAGAGGTATCTTCTCCTGCACATGTAATTTTAGCTAGCTTCTGAGAGTTCAAGAAGCAAGTTCTTGAAGGTTTCTGTGTTTCCAACCCCTAACTTTCTTCATACTAGATTCAAGCATGTCTCTTTAAAAGTATTTTCAGAGCAGTTGGAGCTAATAAGGTTTTATTGCAGTGGCATAGTCATCATTACTTGTCTTGCAACAAAAACTTTATGAAATACTTATTCAGTGAAATACTTTGTTGACATTGTAAAAGTTTTGCATATTATTAACTTATTTAAAAAATACATCAATGAAATATGGAAAGAAAGTTCATTAGTAACCACTCTGTTTTATAGAAAAATGATACAATGATTTTTGAGTTTAAAAACTCGTGTTTCAAAGGCACGAGTTTTCTGCATTTCCCCATAATGAAGAAAGCTGTTGTCTTTTGAAAACCTTAGATATAGTCTTTAATGTTTTTTGTATGTCAGAGTACTTAATAAATAGATTTGATAGTATTATCAACTTTTTAAAGCTGTATGTGCCTGTTGGAAATCAAGTAGTATTTTTCTGTTGTTGTAAATTAATTATGATTGTCCATTAATAAATTATTTTGTATTAAAAATAGGCTGAAATCAAAATTTGAAACAAATTAATTAACACTGAGAAGTTTTATCTACATATATGGTATATCCACTGAGAGTGGATTTTTATCTTTGAGAAAATTACTTTTATATTACTAGCTTAATACCATACTAAGTACATATATTAATCTTTTACATGAAGAAAGTGAAAAGAAACATGAAACTTTCACTGATTAATTTGTTGTGTAATAATTTGCTCTAGAGAAATCCAGTAGGTGAACACTTAGAACAAATCCAGTATAAAGTGTAGTCAACCCAAGTTTAATAGTTTTGTGTGAAAAGTTTGCACAGTAGTTTTCAGGTGCTAAAAATAATTTGGACAAAAAAAAAGAAAATTGTGATAGTGTTCTAGTGAATAATGTTTAGACTGATTCATAACTATAAATGTTTTACTAACATAAAACATTGCAGTTCAATGACAATATGGTTTATAGTGGCTTCCAAGACTAATTTTAAAAAGGATACTTCAGTAATATTTTATGGGTGCTGATATTAAATTCCAGAAGAATTTAACTTTTTCGATCGGAAATGCATGGTTTATTTGTATTCCTCGAGTTATGACCTATGAAAGTGAACGTATTGCATGGATTAGATAAAAAAAAACAGTTCATGAGGGAATGTAAATTTACATGAGGGATAACTTCCTTCAAGTGAATATAATTTTATTTCATTATTTCTATCCCTGACTTAAATTTACCACTGATGTCTAGCATCTCAATGTTTTATAATTTAATTGTTACATGCTTAGGAGTATATAATTATTTTTGCACAATTTACAGCTGTTGATTGAAGATTACTTCAAGTGCTGAATGATGTTAGACCTTGTTGACTTGGATTGTAATTCAGCAACATACATGATAGTGCTAATTACTCTAAATCTGATTGTTTGATAGTTTAGTTGCTTAGACTATTAAATATAGAATTTCTTAATTCAATTTTTATATAAATTGATTACTGATCGTTTTGTAAACATTTTCAACTAGTAAAGTTGAAAACTAATATTTTACTATTTTGAAAATTAGATGACTTAAAATCAGTGTTTGTATGTTTTGTTCCTAATATAGATTGTTTGGTTCTGTTGTTACAGATTCTGAAGAGAACCAGAATGGAGAAGAAGATGGAGCATTGTCAGAAAGCTCTGACAGTCAGGATAAGCAGCCACAAGAGAGCACTAATATATCTAGACCATGGCAAAGTACTCCTCAGAAAGTGAGAGGTATATTAAAGGAAAAGTCAGAAAGAAGCAACCTGAATTTGAGTGCTGAGCATAGAGAGGTAGTTTAAATTTAGTTGAATGTTTATATGTATGTAGACTAAGAAAATTGTTTTTGAATAGTCTTGTCTTCTGGCCTTGAGGCAAATGAAATTCAGGAATTAAATAGGGTTTGCACACACCCTGGAATTCCTGGAAAATCCTGAAAAAAATTGATGTCCTGAAAAAGTGCTGAAAACTCCTGGACATTACTTTATTTCTCCTGGAAATGTGCTGGTATTTGTATAAATGCATAATAAAGAATATTTATTTTGTTTTTCTTCACAGCTACAAAATAAAAACAGTACACTAGTTCAAAAATTTTTTTCGTAATCTTGCCAGTAGACCTGCTACTTGCAGTAGGGGCATATAGTTATTCCCCAGTCAGCTAGTTGCATGTGCCCAGTCAAACTTGACTATTGGTGTACATGCATACTAGAATCCCTGTAAATAGTGCTGTGCTCACATTAATCTTTCATGCACATCCTTGGACCTTGATCATATGTTTGAATAAACAATTAAAATTGTGATGCTGTGCAGAAAATGCATATTTAATGACATATGGGTAGACAAGCTAGAATATGCTGATTGGCTGGGACTTGACAATCACTTGAAGTCGGACACATTTTGTAAGGTGTGCAAGAAATCCTTTGATGTGTCATATATGGGAGAGCCGGCAGTCCGAAGTCATACCAAAGGAAACAAATGTGGAAATTTTGAAAAAGAAACTGCATGGTGCCTCGACATGTACAGTAAAACAGCTCTTCAAAACAGAAAACAAGGCTGGACCTGAAAGTAAGCATAGTTTAATGAAGGTTAATTAATTTGTGATTTTGGTGATTAACACAAAAACTTCTAGTAAATAAAATTAATGAATAAATAACAGAAATAATATGACCAAATAAATAGTTTATCAAATCCACTGTTTGTATGTTTTTTAATGCCAAATAGCTAAGTAATTATCTCTCTCTCTCTCTCTCTCTCTATATATATCTTTCTTTCTTCTTTTTTTTTTATTTATTTATTTATAAGCTGATCTGGTTTATGGTAATTAAATTTATCAACAAATTGAAATAACATAAATAAATGCATATTTATAATAATCATGAAGAGTATTATGCTATGCATAATTTGAATGTCTTTTTTTTTATAGAGCCTGAACCAAAGCCCATAGGGATTGTGGAGGATGAGACTGGTAAAACATCAACAGCAATTAGAAGAACCTCAGTTTTCTCATATGTTGGAGGGAATGTTGTCCTGAAAGCTGAAATATTGTGGACACTGAAAACTGTTGCATCAAACTATTATAATTCATGCAGTGGTCTAACAAATCTGTTTAAATCTATGTTTCCAAATAGCACAACTGCTCAAACTTTTGCACTGTCAGAAAGGAAGTGCTCCTACATGACAGTTTGGATTGACTCCCTATTTCAGAAGTTTATTAATAGAGCAAATGTCAATAAAGAAAAGTAGAGTCACTAAACAAAGTTACAAAGATAAAACAACTTGATGTGCATATGTGGGATAATGACAAAGTAGTTACATGTTATCTGATTTCAGAGTTTTTCGGATATACAATAGCAAATGATATGATATCTTCTTTTATCCATGGAATAAAGCAGCTAAAGGTAAGTCTATCATCTGTTCTCCAGTTGTCCACAGATGGTCCAGCTATAAACTGGAAGTTTCATGCAGTTGGAAAAAGTTCATCACACGAAATGTTTGAACATTGGAAGTTGTGGCTTGCACATCATACACAGAGCTTTCAAAGATGGAGTAGCTGCATCACAGTGGAATGTATCACACACCATCAGCAGCCTTTACTGGTTATTTAAAGATACATCAGCTAGAAGAGAGAATTACACCAGACTCTCAGGCAGTGACATATTTCTTATGAAGTTTTGTCAGCACAGATGGCTAGAACATATGTTGGTGGCAGAGAGTACTCAAGGTCTGGCCATATGTTAAGTTGTATGTACAAACAGTTGATCAGAAGAAACTGACAAACCCAGAAACAAAATTCTTTGTGGTTAAGAAGTCATATGATGATCCATTGATTGCTGTGAAGCTATTCTTCTTCAAAACTGTTGCAAAGAGAATAAATCCCTTCCTCACAAAGTATGAGACAGGCAGTCTCATGCTACATTTTCTAGCCAAGAACATGGCATAAATGCTGACTGTGCTAATGGCAATATTCATCAAACATGAAGAAATTGAGAAAGCAAGTAAGACATGAAGGAGACTCATTGCCCTTAATGTTGGTAAAAAAGAACTTCAAGTGGCCCACAATAAAATAGATGTGGGCATTGAAGTAGAATAGGCATTGAAAACTGATCAAGTATCATATTTGCAAGTAATGGAATTTAGGATGGTATACAAAGTATTTGCACATGGAATAGTATAGAAGCTACAGCTTTCACCTGTGACCTGTCTCGAAAGGGTTAAAAATACCCAGAAAGTTTATATACACACAAACACAGCACACCATTCTTAAGCTTTTGTTTTGCTTGTTTATAGATCATATTTATACAATAATAGATAATAGGTTATATGAAAAGTATCAGTGATCAGAAATACTCCTGCCAAATTACTGTCAACTTTATACCATTAAATGAAACTCGGAGAATTTCAGTGTGGATTTAGAGGATTTTGATTAATTTTCGGCCAAGGATGGTATAGTAGCTAGCATTCTCAGACTGTGAACCTGAGGGTTTATGATTTACATCCAATTGCTGCAAAAATGCACTCCACATTTCAAGTGCCATAGTTGCACTATAAGATAATTTTCAAATCAGAGAATTCGTTCACATAAGAATTTGAATGGGTACTGTTGACTAGCTGCCTTAACTCTAGTCTGTTAATTCCAAATTATGGATGGCAATGACAAAATTTTAGAACATGAGGAACAAATAAAACATTTAACCACCAACACCTTTTTTCGTAACCTAGTATATTCTGTTCAAATGTTTTACTTTCAAATAATTTATGGTTTGTTAATGTGCTGTTTTTTGTTTGTCTTCCTTATTATTCATATAGACTTGAGAAGTTCCCATAAATATAACACCAAATATAGTTTGAATCTAAACATGCATACTTTGTGGTAAAGGGTATTATGTGTAAGTTAAGCATTGATATAATGTTTTTTTTTCTTTCCGTTCATCTGTAGTTATTGTTTGTAAGTTGGAAATTAATTGCATAGATAAGAGAAATTAAACAGTATTAAAAGTATGATGGTTTGACTAGTAAAGGTACTGAGTGTAAAGGAAAAAAAAACAATTCAAAATGCTGTAAAGATTTTTGAGAAAAGTAATATAATAAATTTCTAGAATTATTTAACAGTGCAGTTATATCTAATCTTACTAAAATGAAACAAACTTTACAGTATGTAAGACCCAGCCCAGAACGCCTTGATGCTCAGATTCGTGCCATGGCTCGAACTCAGAATGTATTAATTCAAACACTTCTAGACCAACAGCAGGAAGTGGTAAAAACTAACCATGCGATTGTGGAAGAGTTGAAATTAAACAGAACAGTTATTGAAGAATTAAAGGTAAGCAGTGATTATAATTTTTTTTTTTTTTGTCTAGCATTCTTTGTAGTTGAACTATAGTTGAGCAAATATAGTGATCATTTTTTTAAATGTATTTTTCATGAGGCAACTTTATAGTGAGGTACCTAAATTGTTTGTGAAATTATTGTTTTAAACTGTATTTTGAATGTATTAGAGTGAATTGAAAGGTTATCAAAGAGATAGTTTATTTTCAAGATAGAGAGTTAAATTAGTGTGTTTTGTGAAGTTTTTGGATTAATGTTTGGTATTGTACTTGTTATTTTGAACAAGTTAATTTTACATTATTCCCAGTATTGTTAGAGAGCTTTGAAGATAATTTTTAACATAGGCCTACAACAGTTTGTGATAGTTGAAATGGTGTATTTAAGTGTTTTACACTCACAAAAAAGAAACCTATCATTCTATAGGTATTTGAAGAACTTGTAGCATTCCGCAACAATTTCATTCAATTCAATTATGTATCAGCTGCCTAGTGTCGGCTAACAATACGAAGAATTAAATTGTGGCAGAATGCTACAAGTTCTTCAAATACCTATAGAATGATAGGTTTCTTTTTTGTGAGTGTAAAACACTTAAATACACCATTTCGAATATATCTATCAATATCAATGTCAAAAAATATACCATGAAAGTGGAATATTTAGAATCATT